TAGCTGCTGTTAGTGAAACTTAATCAACACCTTCTGACCAATCAGATTCAAGAATTCTGACAATAGGAATTGAAATCTTGAATCAGACTGGTCAGTAGCTGTGCATGATATTTGTATAACCGCAGTTCCGGCTGTAACATGAACGATAGGTTTACACTACTGCGCTTGTTCGAATACACCACTGTTTCTATAGTAACAGCTTCTATAGTAACAGATGCAGTTATGAAAAATGAACTTTTGACCAATCAGAATCATGGATTCAACAGTGCCGCGCTACACAATTATATAAAGATCATATTTAAGATATCACACAACTAGTGTAAGCGCATTACTAAATATTGGCACCGGGAACAAGAAGACTGGCATCACTTTACGCATGAGACAGATGACGGAAAAGACAAATCAGCGCCACTGAGATGAGAGGATTTTCAGCTGAACGGTGAAACAGGTGGTCATCATGGAGCCAGAAGCACTAGAACCATTCCAGTATGCTCTCTCTCCGTAAAGCAGACACGGATCCCAGAACACAACTTGCATTCTGGACAAAGAGCCTTTCATGAACATGTGAACAAGGGGGCCTCACTCAGTGCCTGGCTTCTGCAAACTGAGATGCTGATGGAGACACATACTCAACTGAGAAAGTACACAATAACCTAGAAGTGTTACTTTTATTATATTTCTCACTAGTGGCTGAGGGATTAAAGCATTTGGCTGCCAAAGCAGTGAGGATTATAGGGATCATTACTGCTTTAGAAAACATAGGCGGAATTAATCTGATCACAGTAAGTGCCAAAACCCGATTAATTTAGGCGAGATTATCTGGTCATGGATGAGGACATCATATGTCACCTGGACAAGAATGTGTGCTTAACAGCCAGTGTCCTTGCTTGTAAAGTAATCTCCTTTTTTACTCATAAATCATTGGCAGATATGTGTGTGTGTGTGTATATATATATATATATATATATATATATATATATATATATATATATATATATAAATAAAAATATATATATATATATATATATATATATATATATATATATATATATATATATATATATATAGAGAGAGAGAGAGAGAGAGAGAGAGAGATATATATATATATAGATACATATGGTAAATGGTTTTTAACCTTTAAAAGTTCAACAAAGCGCTTTAGACTGTTTCGCATTCACCCATTCAATCACAGTCACACACTACCATACAAGGCGCTGCCATCGGGAGAAACTTGGGGTTCAGTGTCTTGCCAAAGGACTTATAATTCTGAAATTATAATATATAAATATATATATAAAAGGAAAAGTAAGTGTTACTAAAAAGAAACAGCTGGAGGAACATTTTGCAACTAATTAGGTTAATTGGCAACAAGTGAGTAAGATGATTGGCTATAAAAAAAAGAGAGTATCTTAGAGAGGCAGAGTCTCATAGAATTAAAGATGGGATGGAATCTGAAGCAGATGTTGCCCTAAAACCTGTATATACCTTTCAGCATTGACGGTGCCTTTCCAGATCTGCAAGCTTCCCATTACACAGGCATTAATGCACCCTCCATACTATCAGAAATGCTATGTTCTATTGTGAAGAACATATGGGTTTATGAGAATTGCAAATCATTGCATTCTGTTTTTATTTACATTTTACACAGCATCCCAACTTTTTTTTAAATTGGGGTTATATATACACATGTATATATCCCCAATTCCAAATATATATAACCCCAAATCCGAATAAGTTTGACAGATCTTTATGGAAAGGGTTTAAATGATGTTTTTCATGATTGTTCAATGAACCGTAAACAATTATTGCACATGCACCTGTGGAACAGTCCTTACGACAATAACAGTTTACATGCGGTAGGCAATTCAGGTCACAGTTACAATAACTTGGACACTAAAGAGACCTTTCTACTGACTCTGAAAGACACCAGAAGAAAGATGGCTATGGTTCCTTCTCACCGATGTGAACATGCCATAGGCCTGCTGCAGGGAGACATGAGGACTGCAGATGAGGCCAGAGCAATAAACTGCAATGTCTGTAATATAAAATACCTAAGACATTGCTACAGGGAGACAGGAAGGACAGCTGGTCGTCCTTGTAGTGGAAAATTACATGTAACCATGTGTCCCCCCAGACGTGATCGAGAACTTGATCGAGGACAGCAATCAGTCGTACACTGCACAAATCTGGCCTTTATGGAAGAGTGGCAAGAAGAAAGCCATTTCTCAACGTTTGGTGTGATGTTTGGTGTGTCTCCCAGGTGGCTTGTGGCAAACTTTAGACGAGACTTTTTATGGATATCTTTGAGAAATGGCTTTCTTCTTGCCACTCTTCCATAAAGGCCAGATTTGTGCAGTGTACGACTGATTGTTGTCCTATGGACAGACTCTCCCACCTCAGCTGTAGTTCTCTGCAGTTCATCCAGAGTGATCATGGGCCTCTTGGCTGCATCTCTGATCAGTCTTCTCCTTGTCTGAGCTGAAAGTTTAGAGGGACGGCCAGGTCTTGGTAGATTTGCAGTGGTCTGATACTCCTTCCATTTCAAAATGATCGCTTGCACAGTGCTCCTTGGGATGTTTAAAGCTTGGGAAATCTTTTTGTATCCAAATCCGGCTTTAAACTTCTCCACAACAGTATTACGAACCTGCCTGGTGTGTTCCTTTGTCTTCATGATGCTATCTGCGCTTTCAACAGAACCCTGAGACTATCACAGAGCAGGTGCATTTATACAGAGACTTGATTATACACAGGTGGATTCTATTTATCACCATCAGTCATTTAGGACAACATTGGATCATTCAGAGATCCTCGCTGAACTTCTGGAGTGAGTTTGCTGCACTGAAAGTAAAGGGGCCAAATAATTTTGCACGCACCACTTTTCAGTTTTTTATTTGCTAAAAAAGTTTAAAATATCCAATAGATTTCGTTCCACTTCACAATTGTGTCCCACTTGTTGGTGATTCTTCACAAAAAATAAAATTTTATATCTTTATGTTTGAAGCCTGAAATGTGGCAAAAGGTTGAAAAGTTCAAGGGGGCCGAATACTTTCGCAAGGCACTGTATATAATGAGTATACTTTAAATATATACACACAATATATATGTTCATGTACCTTGCATAACTGCATGAACCCTTATGACACACTACAACTCAGCAACTCAGTACATTTTTGGTCAATACCTTACTCTGATAACTTGCACTGAACAGAATCATCCAGGGTTGCACAGTCCAGACAGTAGCTGCTGGTAGCTAGCCTCAAGCAGGCCTCCAAATGATGATCAGTCATTGTGGAATGGTATTTGGACTTACCCTGCCTTGTGCCCGATTCTCCCTGGGATAGGCTCCAGGTTCCCCATGACCCTGAAAAGGAGTACACACTAAGCCACCTAAAACCTAAATATCTGCACTTGCATCTGTCTCCGCCTCCAAACCCTGACAGCAGAGCACCCGAGTTCTTCTACACCAACTTGAATAACAAGCTTAGATTATGAACATGGTTGTTGTCATGCTACAACAGGTTTGGGCTTGGCCCCTATAGGTTGATTTGAGTGAAGGGATATTGTAAAGCTACACAGACATTTAAGACAATCGTGTGCTTCCGACTAGGGAAGCAGGGGAGCCAGACTGAAACCCGCCGCCTTCTTCAATATGAGCTCTCCATACTGTGTACATCTTACAAGCCAAAAGTCTGTTCTAGTTGGTCCCCGAAATTGTTTGTAGCCCAAAGATACCATAAAAACAGAGCCTACATTCTTCACCAGGCTCTGTTTCATATTATCACGTTGACAGCCATGAATATCACGGATTATTGAGGATGGAGAAACAATGCCACACTTTATACGAATCCAATGACAAAATGATGTAGCTGCATTTCATTGCAATTAAACCACAGCAGATGGAGATGCCATCTGCGCTCTAAAGACTCAACACTCCTCTCATACAGTGGTGTTCTTTATGATGAAACGAGCGCGGCCATCCGACAGCAACATTCAGAGGCGTACAGTCAGAGATTTACATCTCACATTTTCTTGTAGTTGAGACTAGAAAAGTTACATCTGAAACTCCTGAGGTTTATAACAACGGGTGAATCTTGGCAGAAAAGGGGAAAAAAAACTATTCACTTCACACGGCAATGTGTAGATTGCGTTGGAACAAACCTTTCGTCTAAATCAGATGGCTAGCAGGGTTTCGCCTGACAGACGCAGAACAAAATGGAGTTTGATAAGAAAAGCCGGTCCCATATCTTATTTATTCCACTTTCTTCACTGAGGGGATTTTGTTCAGCAGACTGTAATGTTTTATCGATGATACATACAGTACTCATGGCGAAATGGCAGTGCAATAAAATTTCTGGTGTACAACTGTAGTGCTGTACTGTATTGGTTTGAGAGAAGGAGAGAAAGAGAAAGAGGGAGAGAGAGAGAAGGGAACACAGAGTGTTCTGACAGTGCAGCCATAGCTCTACGCCAAAAAAGCAAAAAATGAATAAATCAATGTACATAAATATTATGATCTCCGTCTTGAGCCTGCTGTCACTGCTATTAAAACTGTGACAGCTGAAACTAACATCACATCGTATAACACACAAAAGCAAGACCAGGACTGGGCGCTGAAGAGGAAATACAGTCCAAAAATCTGTTTGTGTTATCATTTTGTCAGTCTTCATAGAGTCCCAACTGCTTCCTGTTTATGATGTAGGATACATTAACATGTATCCTACATCCAGCCCTAGATTCCATTCAAATTAAGGAGGGTTCAAGTATAGCGGCACAAAGATCAGCTAATTCACATGGCGGACATTACACGTAAACAGATTTAAAAAATCGGTGTAATTGTTGATATGGGGACGTTTTCTGTGAGGAGATGTTTATTAAACATTTATGGAAGCAGCCTCCAAATTCGGTGCGTTGTAATATGTTTATAGTTGGAAAACACAAGTGATAACAAGAGCTTGCTTCTCAGATGTTCCACAACAGATGTTCCCTAATAAGTATTAGGGCGCACGGTGGCTTAGTGGTTAGCACTTTTGCCTCACACCTCCAGGGTAGTTCAAGTCCAGGGTTCGATTCCCGACCGGGCCGTGTGTGTAGGTACTCCGGTTTCCTCCCCCAGTCTAAAGACATGAATGGTAGTCTGATTGGAGTGTCTAAGGTTTCCGTAGTGTATGAATGAGTGTGTATGTGATTGTGCCCTGCGATGGACTGGCACCCTGTCCAGGGTGTACCCTGCCTTGTGCCCGATGATTCCTGGGATAGGCTCCAGGTTTCCCGTGACCCTAAAAAGGAGTAAGCGGTAGAAGACGGATAGATGGATGGTATTAGTATTGATTAATAAAAAATGTAAATTACTGTGGTGTAAGACATTTTACAGGAAAACAATTAACTTCTTTACTTCTACTCAGTAGAAGTCACTCCGCATCCCACTGACCCTGTCGTTGATTATTTTCCACTAACATGATGTTGTATTGTGTTACAATATGTTTTTCAAATCCACTTAAAAAAACCCAACTTGTTCTTTCATCTTGGGAATTATTAAGCTATCGAACAATTTCTAGCAATTTGTCAGCTGTAACGTGTATAAGCATGTAACGTTGCTAGCTAGCTGAATAGATTCTGTATAAGCAAAATGAAATGGTCTCTCAGAGCATATGATCCCATCATGCCCCACTAAACAACCTGAAATGGTCTTGTAAAGCCCATACATAGGACCTGGTTGCTATGTTTTCAAGGTTGACATTATCTACATTCAGAGCCTCGGTTGATTACTGTCCAAATCACCACGGAAATGGGAGTGAAATCCAAGATATCAGAGCCTGCCAAACCCTGAAATAACCGCAATGTTGTTTTACAGGCTGGTCATTACAGTCAGCTATGGTGACACATTACAGGAGACAAGTTCGGCGTTCGTCCGTCCCCCTTCCCCACCTTCCCCAAACAACCAGAAAGTGTATTTAGAGTCAAGTCCCAGTCTGGCACGCAGTCGATATTCTGTTGTTATACCAGGTTCATCTAAAGATACTTCAGCATGTTTAAAAGACTATAGACTAATGCCCCAATGACATTTAACATTAATGTTTGACTAGATCGAGTCCAGTCCACCACTGACTGGTTCATGCAGGGAAAGTTCTGAGAGTTGGCTCTGAGACTCCTGTGCCTGCTCCTTTAAAGCATGGGATTGTAAAAGCCACACTGTCTCTGTGAAGAACTCGTAATATGCTCATATGTCAACCACCACGCTCAATAAGGCAAAGGATACACACACTGGTTCAAACGCAACAAAGGAAACACTCTGACAACAAGGAAACGCTGTTGAAATGCTGATAAATCATACAGAAATAATAATTAAAAAAAAAAAGTAGAACTGAGAAGCTTTGTGCTCTTTGAGAAAGGTCTATGTGCCAGATGTGAAGCTCATTTTCTGGGAGCGTGGTTATATAAACAAAAAACAGAGCACATGGTAGACATTATACCTAAAGATGAATTTGTTGCTAGGGTAAACATATACCGTTCCAGACAATCGTTCTTGTCGCTGGTGTACGTCAGCATGCGCGGTGATTCCGAGACTAAACATTTCAAAACTACTAACTTACGTAAATAAACACGCACCGAAAAGAACGTTTTAATATCTGTGTAGTGGTCTGAGAAGGTGTTGGACATTATTGTGGCTGAATTCAGGCAAACAGACAGAAATGAGTAACTGAAAAAAAATCTGGGTTTTGTTGCGTTTTTTTTGTTTTATTTGAACCAGAATTGAGATTTGTATAAATAATACACGTTGACATCCCTACTTTAAGCAAACGTTAATATACAGTACAGTGCAAAAGCCTTAGGCACCCTATTTTTTTATTTATTTTTTTATTTTATTTTATAGTACAAACTTTGTTTGTATGTCAGTAAAGAAAGCAGCATATTACATAAGGGACCATGTTTTAGACAAAAATATAATGCTGCTGGGAAGAAGCGAGTGAGACAGTCAAAGTCTCCAGAAGAACCGTGTCTGGTTCTGCAAGACGCTCAATATAAAACTTGCAGCTCATTTCCTTATAAAACTGCACTAATACCTAAATTACAGGGTCATCACACCAAATATTGACTTCCATTCATCCATCCATCTTCTATCCCACTTATAATTTTCAGGGTCGCGGGGAACCTGGAGCCTATCCCAGGGAGCATCGGGCACAAGGCGGGGTACACCCTGGACAGGGTGCCAGTCCATCGCAGGGCACGCAAATATTGACTTTGTTTATTTATTTGTTTACTAGTCTTTATGGATATCTGTTATGTAGAAACATTTGATTTCATTATATTTGAAGGCATATTTTCTCTACAGCATTTCTTTGCATGTGCTTAAGATGTTTGCACAGTACTCTAATATTTACCAAACCGATGAGGAAATGTTTCATGGATTTAGCAAACTTTCTAACCTTGCCTTGACGTCTTTCCGCAAATATGGCAGTTTAACAAACACGGTGCTACAGGAAGTCAGTCTGCCTAAAGATCTAAAACCTTTAGGTTTCAAGCTATCGGATAGCGTAATGAACAGAGGTCTAATCGAGTCGGTTTGTAATCAGATACCGACTGTCAGAATGTCGCTGATGCTCCAGTGTCGTCACGTCATCGTCAAAACAGAGAGGAGCTCCTACACTCTTTCCTGGAGGAAAGAAACAATGATTATTTCCTCACCAACGTTAGCAAGAACAGGGAAAAGTCCAGTGGAAAGACTGTGATGAGGCGTTACATAAAAAAGTGTCAGACTACTCGGCAGAGTGTGAACATCAGCAATTATCAAAAACGTTGAGGTTTGTAAACAATATGTCCGTCACATTCGAATCAATTCTGAGACCAGAGTCTAATTTACTTCAACAGCTGTACTGGCACGAAACCTGAAAGGCGTACACGGGACACGTTCTGACGAGTCATTCGATTAATAAACACTCTTTTAAAATGAATCTGGTGTAGTTTCATTATAAGTAGTAATGAATTGGTTTTAACAACGTATATTTATATATAACTATACTATATTGCATTTAATCTGTACTGTAGTACAGGTAAAAATAAAACTATACAGTGCCTTCCACTAATATTTGCACCCTTGGTAAATATGAGCAAAGAAGGCGGTGAAACATTGTCTTTTATTGTTTAACCTTTTGATCTTTTGTTAAAAAAATTTCACAATAATAATCTGCTCTCATGGATATCAAACGATTGGAAACACAACACAGGTTTATCCAAAAAAAAAAATTGTTAAATATAGGTGTGCAACAATTATTGACACGCCTATGAATTCATATGAGAAAAATATATTTGAAGTATATTCCCATTGATATTTTAATGTTTTTTTTAGTAAAGCTGGGTGACTAGGAACAGGAAATTGTTCAACCATGTCTTCCTGTTTCACAGGGGTATAAATATGAGGTAACACATAGGCCAAATTCCCTTAGTCATTCATAACAATGGGTAAGTTTAAGGAATATAGCTGTGATGTGCAGCAAAAGATTTTTGATATTTTGTTTAAAAAGAAAATCACAAAAATACTCTGCTGTCAGGGACATCAAACAATTGCAAACACAATACAGGTTTATATATATAAAAAAAGGTTAAATATAGGTGTGCAACAATTATTGGCACCCTTTCAAGTCAGGGGACTGGGATGGCCATGGCAGGGTGCCAATATTAGTGGAGGGCAGTGTATGGGGGTTTTTTTGTGATAAGTGCTAGCTCAGTGGTTAAGACGTTGAACTCCTCATCAGGTTGTGAGTTCAATTCCCAGCACTGCCAAGTTGCCACTGGTGGGCCCTTGAGCAAGGCCCTTAACTTTCAACTATCTCGTATAAACAAGATAAATGTAAGTCGCCTCTGGATACGGGCGTATGTCATTTTTATTGTAAAACATGTGAAACATTTAACAAAATACTCTGATTTCAAATCTAGTTGCTGTAGATAATAGGAATAATTAAAAAAATGTCATTATGGATTTATATGCATTATTTATACAATTAATTAATACTGATTGTCTTTTCCTTTTTTTAAAAACAACAACAACAACAAAGAAACAAAAAACGATATTGAAATTTACAGAAGTGATTACACTTACAATCTAATTACTGTAGTAGTATAAATAATAAAATGATATAGTGCACTTGGCTTTACACTTCTATGGTTAATATACTTAATTTTCCATTTTTTTGCAGAGAAGAAATGAATGAACAAAACAATCCTTTTCAAAATCTAGTTACTTCAGATTGTAGGAATACAAGAATGTCATGTAGTGCCTTTGGATTACGTAACTCTTACAAATAAAAAAATAATAATAATTAAACCATTTAAAATGTAACAAAACAGTACTTTTCAACATGTAATTTATGTATTTTGTAGGAATAATAGATTGCCATAGAGTGCTTTTGGTTTTGCATGTGTAACTTGTTTAAAAAATCTTTTTTATAAAAATACAATTTTGTGCTAAAAAAAAAAAAAATTGCACTTACACAAAACACAATTTTTCCAAAGAATACAGCCACAGGTGTGCTCCCAATTAACTCCAATATCCTACAGATCAGAGGCAGGATGCAAACCCCCAACCGCAGAGGTGTGAGGCAAACGTGCTAACCACTAAGCCGCCAGATTCTTCAAGAGACTTCAAGACAACATGACCAGCCAGTGTTCTCATAAAACTGTATGACGTGTACCTGAGACTACTGACGCATTAAGGAAAGAATGATCATACCAAATATTTACACATGTATTTAACAGTCAGGCAAAAGAGAACACACTTGGCAGTTAATATCCAGCCATTTAAAAAAAAAAAAAAAGAGACATATAAGCAAAATACCTGTCCTACTTCTGTCGCAGAGATTTACTGTGAAGATGTAAAGACAAGGCAAGCAAACGTCTCTGCACGAGCAGCAGAATCTTATCGCATCATGATTACTTAATGTGCACAGCGGCTATCTCGGGATGAGCGTGTGCTGTGATAAATTCAACTAATGCATATTTGCAAATGTCTACTCCTTCATTAAACTCTTTCCCCTATAAATAAAATACCATGCCTTTTTGTTGACCTCCATCTGTCAAGGTGTGGAGTT